TACTTAAGTGCTACTTCAATTTTAGTCTGTACTTTGATAATTCCTAAAGATTGAGTTACTCTTTTCACACTTGAGTTCGACTTTTCCCATTGTGGAATAAACCGACTGTTTTCAAAACTGTTTGCAACAGTAATTTGCTGGTCAGAGCACTGACTGAAGTCATTTCAGTGTGGCCTGAGTTCGTTCAGGGTTCTTCCACTTCCTGGCAGCTAATTGAGCAGCTGCTTAGTCTGTTTTGCTTGTTGGCAGAAAGATCAACTGGTGGTGTCTATGGAGAAACTTGTACTGAAAAACAGTTAAATAGAAGCATGAAATTAAAGCACAAAACATGAAAACAAAGAGATAGAATTTAAAGTAAGATAACATGAAGCTGTGTGAAGTACTGCTGATGGTTAAACCGTTAATAACTATTGTGTTAAAAAAAACTGTGGTTTTTTTGCTTAGTTTTATTTATGTCCTGTTTTGAATGCTAATCTCTAGAGCAATTCCAGATACATTGTTTGCTGTGCTTTTCTATCATAACGTGACAGTATTAAAAAGGGTAAAAAATGATGAGCTTTTGTAGCTAGGTGAAACAGTGAGGATTAGCTCACTTGTTGGTGTTGTCTTCCCCTTAATAAGCACAGAAGCAATGGCTCTATCAGTACCATTTAACATAGAACTGTGCCTTTTCTATTTGAGGAGATTGATTTGTTTCGTTTTTGGAGGAATTTGTGTACTTGAAGTCTGATTTTCACTAACCTCTGTAGGTGCTTTACTAAGAGATGGCTATGCCTCTGTATTAAGCAGTGTTCATCAGGGTTTTTTTTCTAATTGTCTTTAGTGGCTGAAACTCACTTCTGATGATGTAAAGGAACAGATCTACAAGCTGGCTAAAAAAGGCCTGACTCCCTCGCAAATCGGTAAGGTTTATGAATGACTCCTAAATGGAGACCAAACACGTTTTTCTGACTGTAATAATGTAATTGTTCCTTCAACCTGTACTGAACAACATGCTAAGAAAATACAGGTTTTCTGGTGTGCCTGTCCGTTCCCTGTGTGGATACCACTAAAACGTAGTCTGTTTCACTCTGTTCAGTCTCATACTGTGCCCTTAGGAATGACCACTAATAGGCGTTATAGGGATGTTCCTTGGAGACAAACTTGACATCTCATCTTAAATATCAGCAGCCCTGTGTTCAGGAGCTTATTGAGCCAGGCACTGTAGCTGCATGATTGAGAAGTTCTCAGTAGTTTGGACCCTCTAGAGCTCTGCTTAAGCATGGGTATATGCTACACCTTTATGTGGTCAGGAGTTCTGCAGTGTAATTATGTGCTATGTGAATGATTGTATTTGTTTGTTTTAAATTTAATTTTGTATAATTCTGAGAGTATTAATAATCTGTGTGATACATTTTTTCAAAGATGTTTATGACATCTTTGTTAACCATAAGGGGTGGTGGAATACCTCGCTTTAATGAGCCCTGTTGAAAATTTCCCAACAGCATTGTGACATGTAATGTGTTACCTGCCGAAATGTGATGGGTAGGGTGGTTGTCTGTTAAGTGCTGATACAGTGTTCCAGCTTCAGTGTTCAGTCTGTACCATTTGTTTGTCAAGTTTTTTTACATCTTTTCAGTGTGAGATGTAAATGTTTGTTCCAGGTGTGATCCTGAGGGATTCCCATGGTGTTGCCCAGGTTCGCTTTGTTACTGGCAACAAAATTTTGAGAATCCTTAAATCAAAGGGACTGGCCCCGGACCTTCCAGAGGATCTGTATCACTTGATCAAGAAAGCTGTTGCTGTTCGCAAACATCTTGAGAGAAACAGAAAGGTGAGTGCTAATTTAAGGAGATGTTCTCTATATTTGGGTTTGGGTTGTTTGGTGGTTTTTTTCCACATGGTGTAGTAGTTTCTCCATAACTTCTGTTAGATCGAATTGTAGAACTCCGCAACTGATTCTAATAGTGTGTATATGGGCAGACCCACCCCCTTCCACTGTCTTACGAAATATATATCTGCCTTCTTTACTGTCACTATCAGCTTAAACATTTTCTAATCTCTAAATATAATGGGAAGTAGGGGGTTGTGTGTGGTTTTTATTTGAAGATCTTAGTTTTATAGAGGAATCACATATTTTTCTGTTTTGTAGTTGAGAAAAGAGGAAGGTAAGGAGCCACTCTTGACAAAACAAAGACTTATAGTGTAATTCTTGTTAGCCATCGCCTTTGAGTAAATAGGGATTGTTAGAGGCTTTTTGATAAAGGAGGACGGTCTTTGTTTGTGAAAAGGATCTTAAAAGCATCACTTAAACCACGTATTTCTGGTCCTGTTCTGATTTCACCGAACTCATCAGACTTTGGTGGTGGGCATGTAGAGTTTGTAGCAGTAGGTGGGGATTTTTTACTTTGCCAATGCTCATCTGAAGTGTATGTTATCAAGAAGTCAACGCAGTGCTTGAAGGCAATGTAACTTTCTTTTCAAGGATAAAGATGCCAAGTTCCGCCTGATTCTGATTGAAAGCAGGATCCATAGGTTGGCTCGCTACTACAAAACCAAGAGAGTGCTGCCACCCAATTGGAAGTAGTAAGTCTTTTTTTATGTTACTTTTTTCACCAAGGTCTTGTAGGTTTTGTAAACAATATGCTGGGGCTGTTATTCAGAGGGTGAAGAGTGCATTATGATCAGGCATATGGGTAAAACGGGCAGCAAAGAATAGGTATTTTCATAAATATTAACTTATAAATTAATGGAGCTTATTGCTGGGTAAAATGACTGTCACAACACTTAGAAAAAAACATTGATTTAATGAGTGAAGTCTACTAGATAATTTTTATAATACTTCGTACAAACTTCAGTCTATATTCTCACTCAAAGTTCATGTTAGTCAAAAATGTATTGAGAAATGGCTTAGTAGCTGTGGCGAAAATGAAAGTAGTTGTAGTTTTTCTCTAGGAAAGCTTAACCAATGTAGGAGAATCCCATAGGTGTCAGGGTGAGCTTCTCTTTTTTCTGAAAATGCTCAAACACAACTAGCCAGGTTTTTTAATATATGGTTTTGTGGTGTTAATCCTAGTAGCTGTATTTTGAAAGGAAGAAGTGAAATCAAAATAAAAATTTTGTGTCATAAAAATTTTTAAACAGGTTGTGATTAAGCTCAGGACTGGTAGTTAAAGCTGTGAACTAGAGCAGTATTTTCGGCAACTAGTTTGAAAAACTGCCTCTGCAATTAATATTTCTCTCTGTTTTCTCCTTTCTTTTTCTCTCTTTTTAGTGAATCATCGACAGCTTCTGCCCTGGTCGCATAAGAGCTGGCTATGACTTACTGAAAGAATAAATCTTCGTTAACTAAATTTGTATTGTCTCTAAGTGGTCTGTGTCTTACAAACTTGTGCCCATTTCAGGAATCTGCATGTTTGTTGCATCATGGTTTTTGAGGTGGAGCAGATGTGTGGCCATGGTTTCCATATTGCTGTCCTACAGCATCACATCTGGGTGCTTGTTATGGCTGTTCTGGACCAGCTACACAGTTTGTGTCTGAGCTTAAACTGGATTTTTGGTCTGATAGCCTCAAGTTACTGAAGTGACCTAGTCATTCACAGCAAATGGATTTTATTCCTGTGGGGCTGTGCCTCTGTGTGTCCTGCAGGAAGAACTGGGGACGAAAATAATGACGGGAGAAGAATTGGAAATCTAGCAAATGCAGAAAGGATCCAGGCAGGAGGAGGGAGGGGAAAGGGAAACGAAATTGGAGAGGTTGATTGATTCATTGCAGGTAGTGTGGATCTGCTCCTTGTACAGAAAGCCTAAGCAGACCTCAGCCAGTTCCTGACAATAACTGTTGCTGTCATTTGTAAGTAATTTTAAGAACAATCTTTGAGGTTTGGGTAAATACAGACAACAGTTCAGCTGTTCTAAGGTATTACATCGTTACTGAGGTAGTTTTCCCTAAACCCAAAAGGCAGTAGCTATTGTGTGTAGTCACTGTTACTGAGGTTGTGCCTCCATGTTCTAAATAGCTTTGACCTCAAGAGTCGTCTTCCTGCTGGGGAAATGTGGAGAACAGACTGACGGCTTTTTACTTTTTTAGGATAAAGTTATACATTGAGTTATTCTGAGCTGTTGCGACCATTGCCAAGTTGTGGTGCATTTAAAGTGTAGCAGCTACTTTCTAGATCATAACCAGTGGAACCTGGTAGCTTCTGGATTTAATGTTGCAGAAAGACAGGATTTCTCTGCCCTGATTATGAAGCTAAATACTGACTTACGATTAAGACAGTTTTAAAAGAAAAGCACTGCGCTCCAGTTGAACCCTAAAGTGCTACTGTCTGGTCCATCTTAAAAGGTAAATTACCAGACTCTGTATGCTGTCAAAATACTTGCTTTCATTTCTTAAAGCTTCTGGTAGTTACTTGCCAGGCTCTCACAGTGATGATTAAGTGTTCTGGGGTGTAGATGTAATAAATCACTTTCGTGATATTAAAAAAAAACAACATTGCTGTGAGTCTTTGGGGTTGGAGGTGTTGCCAACTGAAAAGCACAGGGACAATTTCAGTACTCACTGTTCTGACGGCTGTATGTAAATAATGAACGTACCAGCAGATGGCACTTTGGAACAGCAGTTTTAAATAGTTCCACACTGCAAACAGTGCCGTCTAGAGATCCAGTGTCAAGGCCAGTGAACAGATGATGTATTTAGAGTTGTAACGCTGCTGTATATGTGGTGCCAACTGATACAGTGGTTTTGAGCATGGTTGTCTTGAAGCGTATACAACTCTAGTATTTCATGCTACTGAAGCGTTTTGGTCTGAACACAGTCTTCGGCACTGTTTTGCTAGAGGGGCTGAAAGCAGGCTGTGCTGTACTCGTGGGATTTTTCCCCATCCAGTTGTGTTGAAAGCTGCTGACCGTGGCAGGGGTTGGTACAGTGATGGGGTCTGGCTGTTCCCTTAAGTGACATAAGTTTAGCTTACCCTGATTTGAGTCAGCTAGGGAAGCATTCAAATGTATGAACATGCCATCATGTTTTCTTCACTTCTGCAGTTCGTCCTGGAATGGTAAGTCCAGAAGGTGAGTTTTTATTCCTGTGGTTAAATCAATTGGTGATTGATGCCACATGCAGTTTCTACCTTCATTTTTAGGAAAGAGTTTGAAAGGTGACTGTTAAGTATGGGAAGGATCAACCCTGACAGGGATTTAAGGGAAAGCTTTGGTTCAGTCATATCCAGTGACTGGACTCTCTGAGCACTAGAAATCTGTTTATTCTGAAGGATTTTGTGGTATGACTGGTTTCCTCATGGAGACAAATACACCATCTCTTACCTCTGTGAATATTTCTAACTGACAGTTCCTTATATTCAAGTAAGGGAACTTAAGCACCAGTTATTCTGCTGATAAGTCATGACCACTGCTGGAAACCATGAGTTTCCCTACCTGAAAAGGGCAAAAAAAAGTCAACCAAGGCATAGTAATAACAATCAGAAGGTAAGGAATTATTAAGGTTTATAAATGTATTGCTGCAAGTGTATGCTCTTCTGCTTTTTCTGGAAAATTTTGCTTCTAAAAGGTGGTTTCAGTTGCATTTTCTGCCAGTAAGATTTTTGCAGTTTTTAACTCAAACTAATTTCATGTAAATTAATCCCAAATAGCAAAATGTGAATGAAACAAATATTCTGATTTTTCTGAGCAAAGGTTTGTGTGTCACTTTCTTCCACTGTTCACAGTGTCACTTGCAGATCGTGAAAAAGCATTGTTATAGAAAACCAGCGTAGTTAAAAAGCATTGCACGTGTTTCTCAGGACTCAAGGGCCAGTTCCTTTTCCTGTTCCTGTTTCAATAAAGAGCAGCAGGCCCTACTGAATTCGCCAAAGGCAGGTTTGGTGCTCCCAGAGCTCTGGGATAGCTGGTGTTTCTGGCTTAGGCCAGTGCTGCTTCACGTTCATGCAGGTTTTTGTTTCCTTTTCAATGCTGGGATCAAACTAGTGAAAAAATGTGCCCTGTTGCTGCGAATTCCCTTCAGTAACTCTGCATCATTTGCATGACAATACGTCGTGGTGCCCTGGTAACCTCCCTGGCCAGCACATACCTTGGCAGCAGGAAATGGTTCAACAGTGTTCGCTGCACAAATGGGATGCCTGTCAATGTACTTCTGCTTCCCAAGAATTTCTAGACATACTTGCAGTTGGATGAATGAAGGTTTCCCTCTCTTCCTCTCCACCCACCTTCTGCTTTTGGGAAAAATTTTACTTCTGGTTAGAAATCTATAATCCTTGTAATGAACAGTGCTGCTCGGTGGTGTGAGTTCTTCCCTGTCACCGCAGGATTTATTAAAGACGTTAGCCAGCACGGATGCAGCAGCTGGAGCTGAGTCAGTATAAAAGGTGAGTGGCACAGCAACCTGTGTGGGATATGACGATAAACGGTACATTGTCCTACAGGGCTTGGTCACTAGAGAAGAAGTACTGGCAGTTAATTTCTGGAGGCTTGCTCTGTGCTAGGACAAAAGGAAGCGAGTACAGCCTGTTCGCTCAGCCTTGAGCTTGCCATGCTGTGTGGCAAGTAATTACTTTGGCTGTGCCTGAGGCAAGAGGTGTACCTACATTAAAAGATCACCTGAGTTTTCTAGTGAGTGCTGGTTTTACAGGCTAATATTTCATTCCCTTTGAGGCTGCTCACTCAAGACCCCTTTTCAGGTCAGAATTCTCCTTCTTCAGAGCCAGGAAGGGGCTTTCAAGTTTAGTGTGGCTGTCAGGGATCAATCTCTCTTACAGCTCCTTCAAGTTCTTTATGATGCAGATGAATAATTTCCATAGATCCTGAGCCCTGTGTTATGCCAGAGTGGTTAGAGGGTGGCTGATGTTTTGAACTGTAGAAGCTGTTGACTGACTGGGGGAAATAACCAGTGGCAGCCATTAAAAATTAATCAGGTTAAATGAACTTGGGAAGGATCCAAATCTCAGAGGAACAGTTCTGATGGCGAAGGCGTTTGAGATTTGCAAGAAAGGGGTTGGAAACATCTCTCAGTATAATATGTTAGTGGACACTGGGGCACACCAAAAGCTGTTGTGAAATACAGGCGTTTCCTTGCAAAGTTGTTTTTTTTTGGGGTTGTAGGTTTGTGGGGTTTTTTTTTTAAACAATGGAAAAACAATAACATCTTAAAGTCCACCCATCTTGCTCAGTTCTGACGGTCTTAGCGAGACTAGGACTATAAATTGATGAATTTTCAGAAACTGCTGATACAGTAATACCTGTCTTTTGTATTTGGTATTCCATTTACAGCTCAAATTTATGCTACAGATACCTCTTTAGACTTCAGTAGTTATTCTGATAATTTTCTTCAGCAGTGGAATCAGATCTGGATTCTGGTTTTGTTTAGTATTAAGTAAAGTTAAGTTTAGTATTAAGCCACACTGTATCTGGAAAGCAACACAAAAATATTTTAAAATAGTATTTAACTAAGTTCCAATTAAAATAGGATCTCAGAAACATATAGGATTAAGAAATAAAGCCCCTACTAACAAATAATGTTCCCGTGCTGTGCAGCAAGGTGACTGTGTCCCAGCGGCCCCAGTTCCAAGTACTGGTGTTACACCTGGGAGTGTTGTGTCATGACCAGGAGTGGACCACTGCTGGAGAAAGTGTTCTGTTTTCTGGAATTCACCACATGTGAGTGTTGCAACTTAGATACTGAAGGAACACCATTCCCCTGATGTCTAGTTCTCACATAGTACTTTTGACCCATAAATCTCAGTGGTTTGTGTGAGAACAGAGTAGACTATCCCTCACCCTTTCCAGGGAGGCAGAGGCATGAGGCAGTGAAATTGCTTGTGTGGGGCAGTAGGAGAGCTAGACATGGAGCTCTGATTCCTACATCTCAGCTCCACGTGCTGCCTGTGAGCCTGTCGTACAGTTACACTTTAAACAAAGCTGGGTGTTTATATGTAAATGGCACATGCGGGGAGTGGTGTGGAGCTGAGCTGGAGGCAGTGCACAGAGGTGTCTGGGGATGCAGACCACAGCACTTACTCCTGGCACAGAATACCATAGTCTGACTTGATGGACAGCTGTGGGGGGTTGCAATAATCCCTTTTTGCACTGGTGGATGTGAAATGTTGAGAGTAGAGGGAACAATTCCTCGAGCTCTTCCTCCCCAGAGCAGGGAGTGGGCTGGATCTTTCTTCCTTCCTCGACAGAGCACCAGAGGAATGGAGCCAGACTTTGTCTCGGAGCTTTGCCTACCTGCCTGTGCTCTTGTGGGGCACGTAACTACTTCTGCCAACTCAGAGCAGACTGTGATGTGGTATCCTACCGTTATCTTCTCTTCTGTGTATGGCCACTTTGGATATAG